TTATTTTGTATACGGGATTTTTCAACGCATAGGTACATATACAAGTATTCCGTTTGTTTCAATTGGCTCGTTTTTGACTACACGCGTACCTATTGTGATTGTCAAAAGAAACCACACTCCGATATGAATGCCACTAAAATTATTAAGATTAGTAGCTACAAGGACGATTTTATTAAAATCAATGTGAACGTATTGCTGCGGGACATCATGAATTGTGTTCAATTACGTTCCAAATAAAATGTCACAACAAATTCATATAGTGCAGTTTTCTTTTAAATTGCTTCCTTTATTATATTCAATGCAGTGCGATCAACTGCGGGAATATTGTACTTCGATACTGATAACTGAGTACTGTTATGTGCTAAACGTATCGTGCGCATTTGGTCGCAACTCAAAATCATAATCCTAGCATATGACTTAAGAATTTTATACATCGTGTGTTCCTGCAACAACCATTGTTATTATTATTGTTTATTACTGTTATGAGCATTGTTACCCGTTCGCTTTTTATTCCCTCGTGTAAGATGATATGTCGGTTCATCACGTGGACGTTTCGAAACGAACGCCATCAGGCGACGAATATTAGGTTGGTAGATGGAATGCAGAATGTGCACGACAGCCGATAAAACACATACGAACGGGCATTGAAAGGTGTAAAAATGCATCGGTAATAAGCATAAGAGTGTTTTTTTTTTTTTTTGTCTCACAAAACGTCAGTAATTATGTCGGTCGGATTAGCATTTATAGAATATGTATATACATATATTTTTCTGTGTATGTGTGTCTTTTTCTCTTTTGGTCTGCTACATCGCATGTACATATAACTATTCGGAGAAGCCGGTAAAGACATATTACCAAACAATAGCCTACATAATTACAGAGCGTTTCCCCGTGTCCTTCGTGTGTGAAGTACAATATCATAAAAGAATGAGAATGGAAAGAAAAACATAATGTATGAGTGTTTGTGTGTGTGTATGTGTACATTTACACACCTGAAAAATTCCTAGGAGATTTAACATTTTGTTGCTATTTAACTAATATTACACGCACCTATATTTTAAAACTGACGGAAGGGAAATATGTTTTCGTACAATTATATAAAAGGTTTTAAACAGTCCATCATGAAACACAATATATACGAGCACGTATATCGTTTTGAATGCACGCATTAATATTATTTGATATGTTGGATACTTCAAACTGTGATTTACTTTGATCCAGACAGATTATATTTCTATAACTATTATTCTAACCTAAATAGTTATTGATTCGGAATGGTTTTTTTTTATTTAAGATACTTATTGAACTTAAAAATTTAGAAATAAATCGAAATATATGTGAAATTAACAGAACAAAGTTATTATTTAATTTCAGTACACGATATTATAAATTCTGAAGAAGAAATCGCTATACATTTTTCGATTTTCTAAACCAACAATGAAAAAGAGCAAAATATTTCTTTTGCTTATAGAATTAATTATAATTAATATATAAGATTTAAAGAAATTAATATATGTTATAGTATGCTATTTAACATTTAAAACAACTTTCTGGAATAAGAAATCTTATAAATAATTAATCATAATTTATTATATACTTTATTATAATACTTGTATAGTACTATAGTTATATTTAGAGATGGTAAGATTAAATTAACATATTAATACAATTTTGTAACCATTTATCCGCTGAAAAATGTAACAAATATTTTTCAAATTGGACATCCTCATAACATGAATATATATATATATTCATAATAATGTTTTAATTTTATGGTAAGTTTGATGTATTGTTGATTCTTAAAATTACGATGGTGTAGTTTGGTTTTTCTAATTTGGAAATATTGAATATGTTTAAAATACGAATAACAATTAATGGAGAAGTATTTAATATTGTTACAAAAAGGTTAAGTTGGATGTACAGGATATGATAACTTATTAGTTTTATTATTAATCTACTACAATTTAAAGTTATCTACACAAGTATTTAAAAGGATTTATATGAATTTGGTTTGCCATACATTTTTTTCTATTAAAATAACCTTTCCGGGAAAGTTTCAAGTAGTGGAATGTTGATTTATTTTCGCCACTTGGTTAAGTGTATTTAGAATGAGTTTCACACTAGAAAAATATAAGCAGCTATAATGGATAGCTATTAAACATATTTAACCTGAAAGGAAACGAGTTTTCTACTACTACCATTGTACTTTCCAAGCTTCTTTGTATGAAGTGTAAATATGCTTGGATATTTTTTTCACAAAATAATATAATTTTACACTATAATGTATGACTACATTTAACATGAACATTTTCAATTATTATTGAAGCATAAATTAGTTGCAGGTTTATTGATGTTGATTAATCCATTAATTCTGACCAGTGAGAAAACATTTTCTTTTCTCACTACAAAATATTTTTTATCCCACACTTTTGTAACAGCAATCCAGTCATTTATTACTCTATGATAACATCCACGTTATTGAGTTAACTATAGCACTACTACGAGATGATTAAAATCATATCAATTTTTCACGGCGGATTTATTAGGTTTAGAACATCGAGAATCGATTACCCGAGGCTCCGGCGCAACGTTAATAATTACCGGACACAGATTTTGTCCGCTCGCGTTTCAACTGAAAATGAAAATCATAGGATGCTATTTGTCAATTAATGGTTTTATCATGTTACATGTATTATATTTTTTTCTAACCCTAATACGACCAATACTTATACTGGCGATCATGATTGAACAGTGCCTGAAACCGGTTCGACTGGAACTGTTAACGTTTTGATGCAGGGAGAAAAAACAAATAATAACAGGTAAAACAATGGTACACGTTTTACTAGCAAACGAAAAAACCGATCAATGGAAGGTGAACAGGCATGTAAAATAGCGAAAACTAGGCTACCATGCACCAGCCGATTGCATCTTATATTGTATAATGTTCGTCTGTCTGCGTTCTCGTCAGCCGTCATACTAACGATAATTTTATGAAGAAGTGAAGAACACGTCTTTCTACATAATATGTTACTCTCGTTTGATACCAAAATAGTATTTTGACTATAAATATCGATTAAAACCGGTATCTATTACATTCATCGAAAGGATATGGCGAACAAAATACATACCTACGTCGCAGTAAACAATAATGAATTCAAATAATTGTTACATGAACTTCTATTTTTACGGCAATCATTTTTAGTCGATCGACATTATATTATATCATTATTGTTGTTCGAAAATTATTTCGTAAATTGTTCGCCAGTTGATTACATTTATTAAAACTTCAAAATAATAGTAATATTATCTTCTATCATTCCCGTCCACAACCTGTTCCCGTTTCGATTCGGTACATTTCAATAACAATGTTCGGTTTGAATATTTGAATACTCCGTCCACGCCACCGAAGAGAATCGTTTATGGTCAACGGACGGACTATAGGGGCCTCGTGCGTGAAATTATTTCCTCCGACGGAATTAAGACATCCCTAGTACTGGCCTTTAACAATGAAATGAGAGAAAGATGGAAAAAATGTGTGTATTTTCCATTAGTGCGTGTGTGCACACATAAATCGGCCGTGAAGCGAACCTAACTGACGGCACTTGTCCGGAACAATGCCATATTTCAATAAACTATGTTTTTCGGATCTCACTGTGTACATAGCAGGTATACATCCTTGGAAAATTGATTGTTTCTGATACCTCTACGCCGATAAACAACTATGAGAATCTAAAATCCAAGTAATAAGACGCTAGTGAATTATGCATGTTATTTTTAAATGGACATCGCGTATGAAATCACATTATCGACTAGGTACAAATCGACTTATTTTTTACAGTTCTGCGTTAAGTATATATTAAGATAAAAAACAAAACAAATAAAACTTACTAAGTACCTATACATTAAAATAGTAAGTTTTGTTTGGTTATAATGTGTTAAGTGTACTTATAATTTAATTTCGAAATATTCAAAATTCATTGTAAAATAAAGTAAGTCACACTTTATCAGACATTGTTATTATTATTTTTTAGTAAAACAAGTTAATGAACTTCTATAATAATTACGAGTATTAGATTTTATTATTTTTAAATTTTGATAAAATTAAATCTGAAATTTTAAATTATTTCGTCGAAACATAATAACGATTAAAAGCATACAACTTAAATTCAACGATTTTTTTAAACGGTTTACGGTTGTTTTGGAAAAATTTGAATACTTTAGAACCCTGAAATAATCGTACTTATCCATAGACACATACATTCATTACCTAGATGGTTTGCAGTTCTTATTATCACTTAAAAACGAATAGGTACCAATATTAAGTATAAAATGTATTTCGTATCGGCTTTAAATTATCAAGGACGATCTTCAAAAAACGTTACATGCAGAGAGTATGTATTCGAATCTTACAATTCAAATATCTACTACTAAGCATAAAAATGTAGCTCTATGTATTTAAATGTTACCATTGTTAAAAAATATTTACTGATCATAATAACTGTACCATATTTGATTATCAATTGAGATTTTCGTGTAATCACATAAAATATAATTTTTAAAAAATGATGTAAATAATTCACATATTATAATATACTAAAAAGTCCGTTGACCGGTGTTTTTTTTAAAAATAATTATTATCATGTCTAGTCGTAGGCGTTTCTCGGGCTTATTGCGTTAACCTCTTAAGTCCACGACTGTAAATGGCTACAGATTATCCTTACCAAACCAGTATACGTTCAATCGTATAATATATATTATATACATGAAATTAAACGCATATTTGTATTAATGTTCTTGTACACGTTATTAGTTAGTGGGCAATAAATTTTAGCAGTCAAACCGGACATTTGGGTGCCTCCTGATAATAATTGATTTGTACACCAGGCAAATTATCTATTGAAACACCTATACCTCGTTTGCCAGTTCCAGCGGTACATCATGTTATATAGATACTTGTATTTTAATAAAAGTATATGTAAATAAATTTATTATACGCTTACCTGGCATTCACAGACGGCGAATGGCCATCATCGGACAACGGTTTCCTATAAACAGAAAAAAGTATTTATAATTTAAATAAAAAATAACAGATAATAGGCAAATAAATAATACAAAATTTAATATTTGAGTTATATGTTAATATACCATATTTATTGCCTCAAGTTCAAATAAAAATGATTATTATTATTCTCTTACCTCAATAATAATTCGATAAATAATTCATTCTCAACATAAATAAAAATAATACATAATACATTCTAATAGTCGTGTATCATTCACATACAGGTATTTTAAGATTTTATAATCAACAAACTTCTTCGAACAATCAGATAAGTAAAAAATCTATTTTGTATTTTTGTAGCTAAGTGTAAATCAGATAAAACTAAAATATGGGCAGTAACAACAGTTATTAAGCTTGTCAATTTTTTTGTATGGACTACATTTATAATCATATTTTATTTAAAATAAATTTTGTATTTGTCTATAATTTCATTATAGAAACCAGTTGAATTATTTTTGTAAAATAATTATAATTATCATCATAAAAAAGCAAACATAAATTTTTCAAACTTAAAAATTTTAAATAACTCATGAGTTTAAACATTTATTAAAGTAAAAAAATCTTATCGATAACCAATATTTGAGAAAAAAATATTGAGACTGTTAAATAATTTTAGCTAACGAAATCTCTTAAATTTTAAGGTCTTAAGGTTAAAATTTTGATTATCAAATTAATGACAGAAAACTTATGTACATAAACTTAAACCAAAATTGAATAAATTATCGACTGAAGAAAATGTTTGCATTAAATCAAGATTGAAATGTATTCATTAAGTATATAAATCCCTACATTTAACGATAATGTGTTATAGTATTTGACTACCGTCCTGTGTTTTTTTTTTAAGTATTTACCGGTCTATTGGTATCACGCGTATCCTAATTAATAACTAAACATTTTTTTAAGTCATGTAATCTGTATAGGTTTAGTTTAAGTACCCTCGTTACTTTCTAAACGTCACACGGACGATGATCATGTTACTAATGGATAATAATTAACCACAGATACGGTCACGGTATATATATTCACATATCTGTGTAGACACGCGAGCTCTATACCAAACATTATATTCTTGTAAACATTCATAATAGATGCAAGGTTAATTTTTTTTTCTCAGTTCCTCCCATTAGATCGTTTGTCTAACAAAAAAAAAAAAAAAATAATCACGCTAAACGTAACTGATGATTTTTTATAGTTTATAATTTCGCCTATAAGGTGGAGTAAATGCGAGTTATAATGTTAACCATAAAAATTATATTTGTAATATAGAATGATGATAAATGACTGGTTTAAAATATAAATATGGTTATGGTTTTTATTGTTTGTTTTTTGTTTAATATTAATAAAAAATTACAATTTAATTTTTTTATGAACACTTAGTGTTATTCAGTAATATAGAGATTTTAGATTACTTGAAAATGAGATTATTTTTGGGTTCAGATGGATTAATATAATTATAAATAGTCTTATATAAAATAATAGCCACATATAAATTAATATAATAAGTTATACATTTTATTATGTATATATTATAAATACATTATTGTCTCAATAATTATGATTGATGTCTGACTGGATATTTTAATACGGAACTATAATATGTAATGAAAATTGAGTTCTTAAATAAAAAGTTCAAAGCAATTAATTTACTTATTTACGTATTTTAAAGTGAAAATCTGTGATCACCAAAAATTAAAAAAGTACTTATGTTCTAGGAACGCAGTTTTAAATTAAAAAAAAAAAAAAAAATCAACGTGTTTAAAGTTTATTTTGAACTGTCGCAGTTTTAAGTTTTAAAATAAAGTTATGATAATAAAAAAAAAAAAATCAGTTTACCAATTTTTTATAGCCGCCTTATTCAATTTTTCGGAATACTACTCAAAAAAATCCTAAATAACCTTTTAAAATTATAATTTTTATTTATTACTTTAATAAATCTAAAAAACAAAATTGAATTCCTAATTAAGAATATCCCACTATTACTGTAAAATCATTTAAGTTTTAGAGTAAACAAAGTCTTTTTTCATTTTAATTAGTTTTAAATTATTTATAAATTGTAATTTGAATAAAATTATAAATTACATTTAAAATTTTAGGTATATTGGAAAAATTGTAGTCAAGAAGATAAAATCGTTATAGATTCAAATTATTTACATAATTTCACAGTATGATTTGTGAGTGATAATACAATTATACTTGTTGTTCGAAGAGTGAGTAAAAAAACGTTTTTGTTTTTTTTTTGAATAAAATATGACGTGTATATTAATTATTAATATACACGTCATATTTTATTCATTTTTTTTTAATCTAAAATTATAAGCGAGTTAAGGGATCTTTAGAATGACAGTTAAAAAACAAACGTAATTAAAGATATGTTTTGTGTCGATGTATGAACGGAAAAAAAAAACAAATGAGCGAATAAACTTACGACCGATCGTAGATGTCTGTATTGATCCAGACCTAGAAAACGGGAGCGTAGATTTATAAAATTAAAAGGGCAAAAATTTTAGGTAAAACTCGTTACCCGGTTTGTACTACAATTGGATTGTTCTTCCCCCTTATGAATCCATCTCGGTTATTGGGCTTGTTTGACAATTTGAGTGCACGTGCAATGCAATAACGACAAGTGCATAATTACCGGTTGTCAGTAGTTACCAGTAGGTATTATAAACAGCTATACGTGTATTGTAGGATACATGCACACAGCGCGTTTGCGTTATTGTTATTTTTTTTTTCAAATCGCATTTATCGCTTGCGTGCGTGCGTGCGTGCGCCATCGTTACTCTTACACATTAGTAGCCGACACAGTGGTTGGTGTGGCGATGGTGTGTGTCCGACAATATCGGATGACCCAGAACACAATGCACAAGACGCACGTGCCCGGACTCATTTGTACGCTAAGTCACGTATTTACTTGGCAGCTGCCATGCCGCGCGGTACGTGTGAGCGTACACGTACATGCACGCGCGCGTGTGCGTTTGTATTCCCGAAGCTCCCGGTGAAACTTCGACCCTGAACGGGGTTATATTTTGCATTAAACTTTCGGTCCGACACCACCGCGCGCTTCAACTCTCGCGCACAACTTCTACCTTATTCGCCAAATAGCATTGTCGTGGAACGGATGTTACATATTTTCTGTTCGTCGTTTATTCGCTCACTACAGCGAGTTACATTGTGTTGTAATTCAAACGATCGTAAGAGAAAAACACGCGCAAACGAAACATTTGCAGCGCGGCGTCGCGGATAAGAGTATCTGTGTCTCGGCTGCTGCTGCGAACAATTAAAAACCTATTAAACGTCTACGAGTGTTCGTGTTGTTACTACTTTTTTCCGTTAACAAAGTCGTTGATAAAAATCAACTTTTTTTTTTCGTTGTATATTTGTTCGTTCAGATACTATACAGTGCTTACAAATGTAAACTTAAACGTACAATTTATGTGTATAATAACTTAGGTAAATTATTGTTCAATATACATTAAAAATGTCAAGATTAATAACACGCGATTGGCTTAATAACTGCATCGTACTACAGAGCTATCTATTTCAATAAATTTATATATCAGAATTATAATAACAAATGTTTTTTCGGAAGAAACACTTACACTTTGTGTGTATTATGCTACCGAGTTTTTATTAAAATCTAGTATAAAAATATGTTCGTTAGAATGGAAAAGCACTTCAATAAAATTTCACCATACGTAAGCGTTATTTAAAAAATTAACGTTCCTAGTCTGTACGTGGAAACTCATATAATGTTCTATACTTTTAATGAATTTCTATATTATTTAACTAAATAACACGTATTTAATTATTGATTTTATATTACACAAATATATTTGACCTATTTGAAAATTGTATTATATAATCACGGAAAAAAATTGTTATTAAATAAAATATCATTATTGTGATGAGTGATTTAGAGTGATGTTTTAATCATACTCCTAACAGTGTATAATGTAAAATATTAATTGAAGTTACTATATAGTAAGAAAATCAAAAATAATTTATTAACATAGGTTCATATATTATCATCTAAAACATAATTATTGAATAAAACACAACACCTGTCTATTTAAAATTACGTAACATCCTCTATTACATAACTATATTTCGCCCTGTAAATACAACAACTTGACACTTAATAACATTTCGAAAATATGTTTTATTAATTGGACCATTTTGTGTCTAATAATATTAAGATTATAACTTAATAGTAGTAAAGTAACGAATACGTCTTAAAATTAAATTTAAAAATTCTATAACTACAAGGCTGGAGTCTACATTTTTTTGGAAGACAGTTTATTAATCAAAACTTCAATCAAAAATCCAATATTTAATATACCCGTACGGACATGGTAGTTACTGCGCTTATTATTACGATTATACTAATTTCATTGTTACTGGATTTTTGACTAGAAGAATATCAGATTTGATATAATTTTTTAATTTCCAGTATTTTAACCAATGGTACTATTTTGGTTTTCACTTGATTTTTTACCAGTAGTAGAACAATGTTATATAGATTTACAATGGTTAGGGTAACCATTATGGGTAAAACACGATTGCGTACGTTCGTTATCGGCGATACTTTTTTAAGCTATATGATTCCGTACGATTTTACCTGCTTTTTAACTACACGGTTGCGTATGAAGTTTTAAGTGTTGATGACAATTTTCATACTGATATTGGTGTATACCACATGCCTATACGAGTGAACTTGAAAAAATTAATAAATACTTTGTGTTTTATCGCTTTTATTACCTATGTTTATTGTTAATGATATCAAATACATCAGATATAACAAAATTTCGTTATTTCCGTTATATTATACAGTATTTTCCGAGTTTTAGTAAAATTGGTAGGTTATAGATGTTGGGGAATCTAAATTTAAGCATTTTCAAATAATTTATTAACAAACAATTTTATTAAAATAAAATTGATAAATTTGACAACGTTGCATACAATTTCATACGCAATCGTGTTTAT